CACATTATTGTCCCGTGACGTTGTCACCCTCTTTTATATACCAGACTACCCTATATCTAGTAAATACTAGAGCATTCGCCAAGGTACAGGATAGTTCTAGAAAATAGGTGGCGCGACACCAGTCACGTGACCTCGATGACGCAACAATACTTAACCCTAAAACCGGGAGTAGATTATACAGAAATTTCAAATTTTTTGGTCGTCACAATATCTGGCAAACAACAAAAAGCACTAAAATTATCTTAACGGTAACTTATTATCAGATATCAACTTTTGGGCTCACCGGTTTATTTCTTACAGAGAAATCATTCGTTTAGTTCTTTCTCTTGTTGGTGTTAATATTTGGGTTAAAATCCGTTGTTGTTTTTTTCTAAATAATTACTTTTAGAGGACATGTTTTAATTAAGTACTAATCTAGTCAGTATGTGTGGGAGAATGTCCTAAAATCGTGTTTATCCTAGTCTCAGTTGCAAGTGCAAGGTGTAATATTTGGATGAAACATAAAACATTATGGATACTAGTCACGATGGATTTTTAAAAGCCAGTTTTGTTGAATATCGTTACTATAGAGCTTTTGTTGTTTTATTGTTTAACACAATGCTACACAATGGGCTATCTGTGCTGAGCCCACCACGGGTATCGAAACCCGTTTTCTAAAGTCTGACTCTATGAGCCTTCAGACTTACCGCTGAACCCCTGGGGGCTATCTGCCCTAACCGTTCCTAATTTATAAATGGTATACTAGAGGGAAGCCAGTCAACACCACCCACCGCCAACTTTTGGGATACTATGTATCAACTAAAAGTAGGATTTACTTTCACTTTATTGTTTGTTTTTAGTTATGCACAAAGCTACACAAGGGCTATCTGTGCTCTGCCCACCACGGGTATCGAAACCCGGTTTCTAGCGTTGTAAGTCCGCAGACTGGGGGCTTTCACTTTATAACGCCGCAGGTTTCGAGTCGTGCCAGACGAATAGATCTAACCCTAAACTTTATTCGAGTCGAGTACTCAAACCACGAGGCCACGCCAGACGAATAGATCTAACCCTAAACTTTATTCGAGTCGAGTACCCTAACTACGAGGCCACGCCAGATGAATAGATCTAACCCTAAACTTAATTCGAGTCGAGTACCCTAACCACGAGGCCACGCCAGGGGAATAGATCTAACCCTAAACTTTATTTTTCATGATAAGCTGGTATAGTGTATTTTCTCTTGCTTAAAGTTGCCACCAAATATGTCAATTTCCATACGATCGACTCACGATTGTAGAATTAAAAAAAGAAAACTTACTGAGATATTCAACCTTACAATTATGCTTAAGCTTAAAAATTATCTTATTTATATATTATAAGTTGTTTTATTTTATTTCAATACATTTGGCGTATATCATCCTAAGCTGTAGCTTTTACCAATACAAATAATTTAGTCTGAAATTATCACTGTGATAGAAGCGCCATCTCTAGTCAGAGTTATTATAGAATATATATTCGTTTCAATAATATTGAATATTTTCGAACAAAAGAATTAATAAAATAGTGAAATATATCCACCTGTCCCTTTCTATAATAACATGTTATTACAGAGTAGTGAATATGAATTATTAAAAGATCTGGGATGGAGGGGTTGTCATACGAAGAGGTTGAAATCTCTCAAATTATTTTCTCTTGAAAAAAAGAATAATTGGGGGGATCTGATTGAGGTGTTTAAGATTGTAAAGGGAATTGATAGTGTTGATGTATCATCTTTTTTCATATTTAACAGTGAGAATAACAGGTCCAGGGGAGAGAAATATAAATTCTGGCAGGGTAGGACTCATCTTCAGCTAAGACAGTTTTATTTTTCTAACAGGGTGGTTGGCCTTTGGAATGGGTTGCCTTCAGATGTTGTAGAGGCAGTAAAATTTAAGTGAGTTTAAGAAAAAGCTTGATAACTCTATGAATGAAAAGGTCTGGCTTTAAGATTTTTTTTTATAAAGTTATTTATTAATAGTTATAGTTTACAGAATGGAACAGCCAAGATGGACCAATAGGTCCCATGTTGTCCCAAAACGTTGTTATGAATTATCCTTGAACCAAAACTTTTTCAAAATCTATTCATATTTTGTTTCAGCAAGCAGAGAAGAAAGACCCCAGTTTGCTAAAGTTTTCTGAGGAATTACCAAGTTTGGAAGAAGCCACTAAGTAAGTGTCCTGGCAGTTGTTTCAAGATTCCCCACACAGATAAGACTGTATATTTAAAAGATGTTGCAGTAATCTAACATATTAGAAAACATGGAATACCTGTAAGAACGTAACTCAAATACTCCCTCCCCCCCAACCAGATAAAATTTACAAAATATGTAGTGGCTTATTAAATATATTAGTATCATAATTTTCTGGTTATTACGGTAAGGAGAGGTTATTAAACACGCCCCTTTAACACTGTTATGGTTATCACGGTAAGGAGAGGTTATTAAACACGCCCCTTTCACACTGTTATGGTTATCACGGTAAGGAGAGGTTATTGAACACGCCCCTTTAACACTGTTATGGTTATCACGGTAAGGAGAGGTTATTGAACACGCCCCTTTAACACTGTTATGGTT